TACTTTGTAAAGATGCAGGGGTAAATTTTGGAGAATTCTATGAGAAAATTAAGGCCTCTCCTCCCATTACAACAACTATGATCAAAGAGATCTATGCCACTACCCAAGTCACTGCTGCCTCACCAATCCCTACAAAGTTTAAGAAGGATTCTCCTCTCAAACTCAAGACACAGCTACAGAAAATTCTAGACAGACAGGACTCCTTGGCTGAGAGGCAGAATGCCTTACATGAAAGCAACAATGCTAGAGTTTTATTGATGGAAAATATCATGATGAATATTAGTAAGAAGTTGGGCATGTCTAAAAAGAAACTTTACGAGTTAGAAGTAGAAAATGCTCAATGCCTTAGAGCCACCACATTCAACAATCTACCTCTTTTTAACACTTGCTTCAATGCTCCTCCAAGAGCTGAAGTGCATGAAAGTGATGAGAATGAAGAAGATGATGAAAAAGAGGAGAAGAGTTCGGATGAAGAAGATGCAGAAGAATAGATTAGGAATTAGTCTTTGCTTTTTTTCTTTAAATTTTAGTTTGTGTAATTTTTAGTACTTAGGAACTTTATTTTCTATAATTTTTGTTAGTGATTTTCAGTTGTTCAATACAATTTTAACACTTCTTAGTTGTAATGAAGTATAGTTTTCATTTGGTTTTATATTTCTGCATTTTAATTACTATATTTTTCTATTTAATTGATGGAAATTCTGGTGTTTTGTGCAGAATATGTCATTATCACACAGCACCCAAGCACATGGATTTTGATACTTGCACAAACTACCATTCAAAAAGGGTGAATTTTGTACCTCTTATTCATGAGTTTAGCTTCACATGCATTGAAAGATTTCTAGAAAAATACAAAAATATTAGTTTAGACATGGAGCTGCATTTTATGAATATACTGCATTTAAGTGAAAATTCTGTGAATTCTTAATTTTTTTAAAGTTATTTTTTCCATTCTCTCATGAAATCACACTTTTAATTTTTAAAATGAGTAGTCTTGCCACTTTGTGCATATAGTTATGAAAAAAAGTGGATTACGAGCTTGAATGATTGACATGTTCACTTTAAATTCCTTAGTGAGACTTCAGCCTCATGCATAGCATTTTTTTATGTGTGAATTTAATCTCATTTGTTACTACACCTCTAGAACTTGCTTTGTTTCTTGATTGAATATGTAATTTGCAGATATCACATGTATGATGGAGGCCTTCTTTGATCATGCTCAGTTAGCCTAAATGAACCTCCTTTATGTTAAGAATCCTAGTTCACCCCCTTTTGAGCCTTTAACCTTTTCTTTGGTAAAACTTCAATATAAGCCTTATTGAAAAACCATGAGACCTATCCAAATTAGAAAGAGGCAATTTGAATTTAATAAAAAATGCTTTTTAAAACTAAGTTTGGGTGGCGTCTTATATAACATCGCTTAAGGACAAGCAAAGTTCTAAGTTTAGGGTGAAGAACAGCAGCATAATCTGAGTTATTTGAAAAGAAAAATAAAAAGTAAAGTGTTAAAAAATGTGAAAAATAGAAAAGAATTGAAAAGGAATTTTGTACATAAATGATGCATGGATAGTATTTTGAATGCTGCAAAAAATAAATGTTCTGAAATTTTGTGCAGACTTGAATAAATGAGAAAAAAAATGCAATCTTAGTTTAAGTTTTGATTTTTATCTACTTGAATTGCATATTCTCTGTTTGGAAATAACCACGTTATTTTCCTAATTGATTGAACACCTACCTATCCTTTAACCTCAATCTCACCTGAAAATGTCCTCTTGATATGTGATTTGCTATATATTTGCAGAGGAGATTGAGAATATTTGTAATCCTACAGTAAAGTGTGGTAAAAATGATGATTTTTAAGCAAACACTGAGCCTAAACACTGTTGAGTGATGAGGGAAACACTACTTGAGAGCTATGATCATGTTCTTAATTTTGCATATATGAACCTTTGCTGAATTATATGAACTTAGATGATGAGCTCTTGTTTATAATGAGATTAATTCAGTGTGATTTTCATGGTGATTGAATAGAAAAATAGCTTGACTGAGAATGAGAAATTAGAAAAACACAGAATTGAAAAATTGAAAAATCCTAAAGAAAGGCAGCTTGCTGATTGAATTTTGAGAAGTGGATGAACTTTCCCTTTGAATTGATTTGATTTGCTTGAGAACAAGCAAAAATTCTAAGTTTGGAGTGGTGATAAATCCACAGTTTACTACATTTTTAGTATAGTTTTAGTTAATAAATAAGTAATAAAGTACCAAATAAACTTGAAAATACCATAAAAATTGCACTAATATTCATAATTGTCTAAATAATTTAGAATTTTAGATTTCATTCCAATTTTGGACAATCTGACTTAAAAAGGCTTTATTTTTGTGCAGAAGCTTGAGCTGAGACTTTGAAGTTGATATTGAAGTGGAAAAAGTAAAAGGATTGAGCTTAAAGAGCAAGAATCAGATGATAAGTGCTGGGCATAATCGCTTTGAGTGCACAGAGTTAACACATTGAAGAAGAAAATCCATGAAGATCAAGTGAGTAGCAACTCTAAGTGTTGAAAGTGAACACTCCAGCAATAGAAATCCTAAAGAGTCTTACACGTGTTCACTCTCACTACTAAGAGTAGTCACGCCCAAGGCTAATTTACTTAGACACTTTACGGGTGTACACTCTAGTCACTGAAAGTAGCCACTCGCAAATTCGCATGTTCACTCTGGCTGCTGAGAGTAGCTACATGTAAGGTTTGTCTGCACAAAACACATGCGCGTTGACACCCTTACTCCTGAAAGTGCCCACGCAAAATAACAGAACTTTTGAAAATCACTTTAAAGTGTCAATTTTGGATGATTTGAGTTCTTACCTCAGCTATAGAAGCTTCTAGAAGACCTTTCATGTTATAATTCTTGGAGATTAAAGTGTGGAAGTGAAAAAGACAGGAAAAACATTATAAATAGAAGTTAAGAGTTCAGATTTGGGAACTTTTGATCATTTTATCATTTTTTTCACTTTGTACTGTTTTAACTTCCAAGGGAAGTTAGAGAGAGGGATTAGGAGCGACTTTCAAGCTTCATTGCTAGAGGAATCAAGGAGAACATTGGGTCTTGGAAGATGTTCTTCTGCTCCTATTCTGCTTCTTCTCTTACTTTTCCGTCTTCCATTGTAATGTTGTTCTAAACCTTTTTGGTTAGGGATCTATAGATTCAAATTTGATATTATGATGTAATTTGGGATCTGGACCTTGAGATTTTAATTGAATGAAGTATGTGATTCTGTTCTTAATGTAGTTGTGAACTAATCCTTCATTCAATTGAACTTAGAGGAATCTTCATCAATGGAAATTGAGTTTATTTCTTAGATCTGAATCATATGCCTAGGTTATTAAGATCTTAGGAATAAGTATCATAATCTAGTAATCTAATAATTTTCAGAACTTAATGCAGTATTTGATTTAATTTTACCTAAGGGATTAGAGAGATTTAATTAGGTATTAGGATTAATAAGGTAAGGAATTATCTTTTGGTTAAAGAAGTAAAATTGATTATCAATCAATTAGAATTCTTAAGAGTCCAGAACATAATTACATTGCAATTGAAAATCTAGTGAAGTGATTCCTAACTATTTTCCACATAGCATTTTCAATGTAAAACTCATATTCTGTTTTACAGCATTTTATTACCTTTAATTGTTCTTATTTCTTATCTTTTTACATGTTACAAATCTTTCAAATGAATTGTGTGGTTCAACTAATTGTCAATTTGTGAAGTGGTAATTGAAAATAAGATTCTTGTGGACGATACTTAGGACTCATATTGATTTCTAAAATTTTATTATTTGTTACAACTACCTAGTATACTTGCTAGTTAGTGATTTTACATAAAGAATATTATTGTATTCTGATTGCATAACAGTATTCATATAAGAACTTAGTATATTGTCACACAAATTGAAGAACTAACTAGCAAGTGTACTAGGTAGTTGTAACAAGTAATAGAATTTGGAAATCAATGTGAGTCCCAAGTATCGTCCTCAGGGATTAGGTCTATCAATTATCACTTCACAAATCAATAACTCGTTGAGCCAAACGAATTTGAAGTGTTTTGAATCATTTAACAAACAAAAGCAATAAAGTGCAAAAATCTGAAAAATACAGAAAAAATAGAAATACGAATTTTGTATTAAAATGCTATATGGAAAATAGTTAGGAATCACTTTACCAGATTTTCTATTGCAATGTAATAATGTTTTGGACTCTTAAGAATTCTAATTGATTGATAATCAATTTCACTTCTTTAACCAAAGGACAATTCCTTGCCTCATTTATCCTAATATATAATTAAATCTCCTTAATTTCTTAGGTGAAATTCAACCAAATATTGCATTAAGTTCTGAAAATTATAGGATTACTAGATTATGATACTTATTCCTAAGATCTCAATAACCTAGGCATATGATTCAGATATGAGAAATAAACTCAATTTCCATTGATGAAGATTCCTCTAAATTCAATTGAATGAAGGATTAGTTCACAACTGCATTAAGAACATAATCGCATACTCAATTCAATTAAAACCTCAAGGTCCAAATCCAAAATTACATCACAATATCAAATCTGGATCTATGGATCCCTAACAAAAATAAATCAGAACATGTTCCTAAAAGAAAAAGAGAGAGAAAGAGTAGAAGAAGAGGACCTGCATAATTTCTTCATAAATCCAATCCCCAGCCTGATTCCTCAAGGTCCAGAGCTTGGAAGTCGCCCCCAATCTCCTTCTCTAATGTCACGACCCCAAGGACAAGGTCATAAACATAACCCACTAAATCTCAGCAATACACAGTAATCACCCTTAATTAGGTATTCATGGATAATCATCAAAAGAAATCAACATTGAAAATAATCCTTAAACAATGTAAGTATTACAAAATATGACTTAGTTGTCATTACAAATATTAATTACAGCAAAAGACTAATACATGAGAAAGTCCTAACGTATCCTAATGCCTAATCCTCCGCTTCTCCTTTAGCTACTCCGGTCCGCCTTGGAAGCTGAAGCCTCACCTGCCTGATCTGCTCACGTACCAAGATACGATCATCGCAGCACAACATAACAACAACAACAATTGCAAGGGTGAGCTTACAAAAAGAAACAACATATCAAAGTAGAATAATCTTAGTAACTCCGCAAGAAATAGCAAATGCAGCCCATGCAGCCCAGCCCAGCTCATGCTCATGCAGTAATGAGAAACAGTATCCATCTGGCCTTTTACAGCACACTCAACAGGTCCAGAGGAACTGTGCCAGTTCGGGAGCAACCCGTTCCGGTATCTGGATCCAGATAGTACAGCTCAGCTTTCTAAAGTCACATGACTACCCACCTAGCATGTGACACAGTGCCTATCATGACAGCCCTATTCAGCTCTAGTATGATGCAGAAATCAACATATTAATAATTTCAGCAATAGTAATTGTATAACAGCTTAGCTAATTTAGTAATTTTTAGCAAATACAGCATTGTTATTTCAGCACATAGCCCAGCAATTTCAACTACACGGTATAATTAGCAACATTGGGTCATCTTCCCTAGGGTTTTTCACAGCATACAACCACCATACTCTATCGTTCGGCTATCAAATTACTTCTCCTAGAGTTCAACAGCAATTAATCACATCAACACAACAATTTCATTCCAAAAATGCAGCTCTAACTCTCTCTCAACACCTCTCATCACTTTCGCAAAACATCAAAACGAACTAGGGCAAGCTCCTCTTACCTCAATCTAGTGTTTTTCAAGGTGCTCTCGATTATTCAAGCCTAGAATCTGCAAGAACTTCCCTACAAATGCAGCCAAGCTCAGAAAATCGAATAGGGATTGGAGGAATTCAAGAAATCCCAAAAGGAAACCATAGAACTTACCCAAAATGGCTTCAATAACTCCCCTCGGCCTAGAATCACACACGAGGTTGGGGTTTTCTAGTGATTTGGGGCAGGAATCGATCTAAAATGTGAAGGGAAGAAGAGAGGGGTCGAGGGTTTTGAAATAACCCTTGCGCAGCGACACGCCCTCTGGCCACAGCGAAAAACTTAAAAGAAACTGCACTTTGGATTTTGCAAAATCTCGCTACAGCGAGACCCTCTCACTACAGTGAGACTGCACCCACAAATGCAGCCTAAGTTGTTGCTCTCTCGCTACAGCGAGAAGCCGATACGCACAAGTCTTTCTCCCTGAGACCTCTCGCTACAGCGAGAATCCCCTCGCTATAGCAAGAAGGCCCTGCACCAGAACTTAGGCTATTCCTCTCATTTCAAACTCAGCCACTAACCAATATATATATATATATATATATATATATATCCACATCAGCTCAACACAAAGCACATTCAGTTATAATTCAACAATCAATGCAATAAGGCAAGGTAAATACATTCATTCATGGCAACATTACACTCAAGTCTTATCATTTTCAACACATACAAACCAAGGCCTTACATCTAACTCTCCTAAGGTGTAAAAATGAAAAGAAAACAAAAAATGGTAAAAGACTTATAATTCTGACCTCTTAACTTCTATTTATAATATTTTTTTCGCCTTTTCCACTTCCACACTTTAATCTCTGAGGATTATAGCATGAAAGGTCTTCTAGAAGCTTCTATAACTAATTTAGGAACTCTAATTGTCCAAAGTTGACACTTAGAAGTGATATTTAAAATTTTGTTACTTTTGCGTAGACACTTTAAGTGGTTGAAGTGTTTATGCGCAAGTGTCTTTTATGGAAAACCCTCACGCGTAGCTACTCTCAGTGCCTAGAGTGGCTACGCGCTTACTGCGTAGCTACTCTGAGCACTTGAAGTGGCTACGCGCTTAACTGCATAGCTACTTTGAGCACTTGAAGTGGCTACGTGCTTAACTGCGTAGCTACTCTGAACACTTGAAGTAGCTACTCTCTTAGTCTTCATGGATTTTCTTCTTCAAAGTGTTAACACTATGTACTCAGAGTGGTTACGTCCTACACATAACACTTGATTCTTCATCTTTAAAGCTCAATTCCTCTACTTTCTTCACTTCAATCTTCAACTCAAATTCTCAGCTCAAGCTTCTGCACAAGAATTAAGTCATTTTAAGTCAAATTGTTCAAAATTGGACCAAAAATCTAAGATTCTAAACTATTTATACAATTATGAATATTAATGCAATTTTTATGATATTTTCAAGTTTATTTACTATTTAACTCTTTATTTACTAACAAAAACTAGGCTAAAAATATAGTAAAATGTAGGTTTATCATGTATTATTTCACATTTTTAATTTAATTATATTTTTTATTATTGATTTTCCTTCTTTAATAATGTAATTATGTTAATTTGGTCCTTGTTTGTACTGTTTTGGAATTTGGGATACTAAATGATTCCCAATTTGATTTATTTACTGATTTATATATATATATAATTTGCTCTATCGGGTATAGTTGGGTACTTAAATGTTCCCAACTTCATTTATTGATTAATTGTCATATTACTTCTTTGTCTATCAAGTGTATTAAATTTTTATAAAATTTTAAATAAAAATATGTTCTGCCCAATTTTACCAAATTGTAAGAAGGCATTAACACAACTATCGTTAAAAGTATACTTTTAAGAGTGGTTCCGCATGAATTGTTTTGCAAAGTGTACTTTGTAAAGTTGTTTCATGTTACAACCGCTCTTAGAATCTTCACTTTGGAGATTTGTTTAATGTTGAACAGTTCTCCAAAATACACTTTTAAGAGTAATTGCCACGTGGAACATCTTTTAAAGTACACATCTGATGTTATGAGTACACTTTGAAAAGTAGTTCTATATGAATCATTTTGCAAAGTGTACATTGTAAAGTTGTTTCACGTCACAATCGCTCTCAGAATCTCCACTTTGGAGAGTTGTTTAATGTTGAACAGTTATCCAAAATACACTTAAGAAAGCAGTGACATGTTGAACTATTTTCTAAAGTATACTTCTTAGAGTAGTTTGTACTTGCTATACAAAGACCTAAGCACTTTCATAACGCATTTCATGAGAGCAGTTTATATTACTCTCTAAGGTAAAAATGCTCTTCCATCTCCTTTCTAGTGTAGTGTGGTTTTAGAAAGGATTTGATTAGGATATTGTTTTTCTTTTTTCATGCCTCCACTTAAGTAAATTGATACATGAGATCCGATGCTTGAAGTAAGAATTACTTTTATTTCATTATATATGTTAGTTTCGACGCTAATTTAATTCTTAAATACCACAGCCGAACAACTTTTGTTACAAAAATTATTTATCGTGCATATGGCAGGTTGATGTATCAATATTTGGCATGGTACGTCAATTTGCCTTTAAGATCTCCAGCACATTGACACACTGTCCATTTTCTCACTAGGTAAATAACATATATATGGAGTTTATTCATACTAAATAAGAAAGTGACACTTAATGACTTGCTCCAACTCTCTCCAAATTTATCACCGTGCCACAGCTCCTTCATTCCTGCATACACGAGCTAAAAAAATTGAGTAATAATCTTATATATATATATATAGCAGCACTATAATGATTATAGATGCAAAAGAGACGCAACTATCTTACATCATTTTTAATCGCAGAAACTGAATTGGTTGGCGAATTCGGAATGTACCTAGCCCACTGTTAAATAATTTTGTTTGCACAAGTTACGAATATAATCTTGTGAGTTGCAAGAAATAAATTTTACGAAACCATGCGCAGTTATCATAACCCTAATAAAATCAAAACTTTTGAAAGGTGGAGAGGAGAGTGTTACATTTTTTGCTGCTGCGCTAAAAGCTTCTCGATGTGGAATTTCGGGGTTGGCTGCTTTGATGCGCTGTATCTCTTCTCTGACATGTGCATATTCAACTAAGTTTAACATGATACGTAGTACATGAAAAGAGGGTACAAGAACGTAATTGTGCTTTGTGCATCTTTTTAGTAGTGCGTAAGAGATCCCATCTTTTAGGCACTTACTTCATGAAACGGTTGTAAGCAGATGGGAGACGGTGCTTCTTCTCAGGTGCTGCACATAATAAAAAAAGAAGGAAAACATTTCATAACGGAACCATTCATATGTAAATCCCGATTTGAATTTGTTTGAGGAGTGTTTTAAAATGTGTTACTCGATCGATGTGTGCTAACAACTTACGTTTCACAACAAATGGTGCAGCTTTCGGGGACACCGGCTCTCGAGATTTAGTTGATGAGGAAGATGAAGAAGATGCTAGGCCCTTTTTGAAATCACAGTAAAACCCCTGCTCCTTGGAAACAAACACACAAATGCTTTCGAAATTAGTATTCTAACCAAAAACTACTTCCTTGCGTTTTCTTCTCTATGCATCGCAAAAACCACTTCCGCTGTACTATGTATATATCTCAGAGGATGAAAAGGCCTAACCATAAATATAAGAAAAATATTTTTGTATATCCAAAGTGAAACATAATTTGCTGTCTCATTTACTTTTGGAGAAGAAGAGAGGTGTTAAAATAATACAATTTATAATATATTTTTTAATACGAGTGAAATTTATTGAATAAGGGGAGTAAAATCTATATATTTGTAATTGACAATGTGGTGTTATCACTTCTCTTTGGAGAAACATTTTTGTAATGTATACATGTAGATAAAACAAATTAAAAAATAATAGGAAAAAAAAAATCCGGGATTACACATTGTTCTTTTATTGTAATTGGCATGCACCACCAACCTGAAGACTTAGGGAGTGATCAATGCATTGATTTTGATTATGTTGAGGCCTGGTCCTCAGAAAGGAGAGGTTGCTGCAATGACCGCACTTCACTGTCACTGCGTCTAGCAGTCTCTTGCACGGGATGCCAACCTACACAAACCAAGGGGTACGTTTATTTAATATACATTCTATCAAGAGGTACGTTTATTTAATTATAATATATTTACATGCTACACACGCTTCATAAATATATGTTATATATTATATACATAAAGCACAATAAGGTAAAATATGCATAATTGTTAATATATACCGCAAGAACAGTGTTACAGAAATTGCAACGAACGTAGCAGAGGTGATCAGATGGTGGAACCATGTCCATGGTCACTTTCTCTTCGTGGTTCATATTATGAAGGAAAAGGTGGGTATGAGAGATGGGAGAGGAAGTATAGCTATAGAAGGAGGAGATTGTTAAAGTTTAAGGGTTTATGATGATAACATCTAAAAGGTTCTCTGCCTGATATTTAGTAGTACTATAGGATAGATGAAAGTTGTAGTGTAGTGTCAAATTAAAAGAAGAGCTAGATAGGGCTACCATTCAGTCATATGTATAGTACCAGCTGCAGCAATACATATTGCACGCTGTTTTACTGGCATGAGCTGAACGGGGAACTTACAATATGACTATATATCCAGAATGGACGATGAATGGAGAGAGTTGTGTAAAAGGTTCATTTGATTAGATATGATTGCAAATTTATTAGGACATCAGATATTATAAATGCAATTTTTGTATATAATTTTTGTAATTTATTTCTAAAATCACATTAAATTTAACTCACTCTCACTCTATTTATTAGGATATCAGATATTATGAAGTATATAGAAATAAATATACAATCAACGTTTTGAAATATTTACTTTATAAAATGAATAGTTTTATATACATTGTAACTCAAAATAATTTTATTTATTCTAGACTTTATTTGAAAGTTTAGAGAAAAAGGGAGAGAGAGGAAAAGAGTTTGAAGGGGAAAAGGAGGTTACATTCCTCCCTTATTTAATATTGAAAAGAAAGGATATAAAGAGTTTAATTATATAAATGATATTGTTGTATTTTATATATTTTTTTAAAAAATAAAAAATAAATATTTTTTTTTTAAAAAATTAATATTTTAAAATTAAAATTTTTATTTGTTATAATTTTTTTAAAATTCTCATTTAAAAAACTAATTAAAAAAAAAGGTTATAATTCTAGCGTAAGAGTACAAGAGAGTGGAAGAAAAAAAATTCGTAAAATTTTCTGTTTGAAAAAACTCAAAAAAACTAACGTTAAATAAGATTTTAGAGGATTTAGAAAAATCTTCTAAACTCTTTTTCTACTAATTAAGTAAATTTCAACTAGGAGTTAATCCCTCTCCTCCTCTCCTAAAAACAGTACTCAAATATAACTTTAATGTACTCTGAATTAGTTTTATGATGTTCAGACATCAGTAAGCATAGATCATAAAACAATATTAAATGCGTCTTTAGATAAATTTATTTATTATTTTTATTTTTTCAAATTTTTTAAAACATACATTAAGCTTTACAAAATTTAAGATAAATTATATTGTATCTTCATGTAATTTCGTGTTTACTTAATTTATCCCCATATACTTCTGGTTTTTTTTTTTTTTTTTCACTTTACATTCCATAAGAGAGTTTAATGGTAAGGAGAAAAAGTATTAAAAAGTAAACTAAATAAACATGACATGAGAAGGAGACAGAGAGTTTTCAAGACGAGTTACCTTATCCACCATAGTGGGCAGGCTTTACCAAGTGGGATCAAAAGTCCGAATTTTATTTGGACTCAAAATTAAAATAATGTATAAGCGGGGTAAAAATATAGTTTTTCAATTCTTTTAAACTAAACTAACGTCAAGCTTAATTAAATAAAACTAAAAAGGTATGAACTTAATTCGAATTCAAAATTTAAATTTACATTTTTATTATGAGAGTTTAGGTGAACTCATTTTTCAGCTAATTTTATCCTAAAATTAAATTTGAGATTTAATATATTTATAAATTATAAAATATTAAAGTTGATTAATATTTTCTTTAATAATTTATTTTAGCAAAATATTTTATATATAACAATACTTTGAATATAAATCTTTTTATGATATTATCACAAATTTTAATAATTAAATTATTTGATTAAAAGAATTATTATTTAATGATATAAAATTGGGCAGCTATTCAAGAAGAATGTGATATAGGAATAAATTTCAAGTTCTTCTGTCGTTTTATTAATATATTATTAAAGTGTACTAATAATTTTTATTTGATTATTACAACTTGTTAGTTCATATTTCTATAAACAATTTGTAGAAATTTAAAAATATGTAAGTGACATTATAAAGTTAAAATGGGTTGACAAAATATGATTTTTATTCCATGAGTACTATTTAATTTTATCTCACTTTCTGTTTGTTTGAATTTTCTAATAATCTTAAAAAAACTCTTTTTGAATTTTCTATTTGTATTGAGCACTATACTTCTCAACTAATTTAGTAAATATTTTTATTTTCTTCGCCAGTTCTTCTGTATCATGCATGCTCTTTACATGACTTTCTTTTACCTTTTCATTTTCTCGTCTCAATGTTTGCTTTTTTCTCTCCCCGCTCATAATTAAAACATATAAAGTTTGACATAATTTAAAAATTACATACATGATAAACTTTACAAATAGAATATGCATAAATATGACAATTAGAAAAAACATTGTTAATTAATTTAATTTAGAGTTCATTTTAAACTCTTAAAAATAGTATATTTTTAATAAATAATAAATATTTATTATACTTTTGATTTTTGATATAACAAATACTTTTTTTTATTAAAAATTTCTACTTTTAACTACTTAAAATTAACCCTAAAAGTTACAGTTACCAGGATGAAGAAAGTTTATTTCCTTATAAAAAAAGCTTAATGATTTTAACTTTTATTGACAACTCCTCAACTTTGTACAAATTTTATTACTTCTTAAAAAAGTCATCTCTCTCTATTATACCAATTTTGTGTTTTTTTCCTTCCCTTTTCATTGATATTTTTCTGTTTCGTTTTTCCCTATCTGCTCATTAAAATTAATTAATAGCATATGTTTGGCAGTAATTATTAGATTAAACCTCGACTTTCTAAAGTACAATAACTTTGTTTAAATTCAAATTTTTGGACACTCATCTTTCTATCGGCTTTCATCTATTCCCCAACATTGAAAATTATTTTTCATGAACAAATTTCCATGTATCAAAGGATAATTATCCAATTCGTATTTAGCACTTTTGACATGTATTTCAAGAAGAAAAATTAACATGCATGTGAACAAATAAATTTTTGTTTTTTTCCCAAAATATTTAATTTCTCATTGCTACCAAAGTATTGAATGTGTAACTTTCTTTTAATGTTATTCATTACTTTTAGCAATGAATTGTAATCCATGAAAAAGCTTGCACATTTCTCATCTTGGCATTCATGCCAAACGAACACGCCAGCTACAAAAGCGGATGGTAATGAACCTCATCGGAAATAGAAGCCCATCCTATAAATAAGTGACCTCAATGAAATTCATGCTAGGTGGAGACAACAAAATTACGTCGCTTAAATTCAGATAAACACCTAATTACCAATCCTCTGATTAATTAAGGACAAATCTTATGTACCCTATTATAGGTATTCTTATTGTTGCTTTTCAATTAAAATTAGAGCTTCATCTCAATAATATATATCAACTTTTAATTTTAATGTGTTAGCTTTTACTGACTATCTTACTTTACAAATTATCAAAATAAAAATTTCAACTCTGAAAGGATAACAGTACCTATGATACTGCAACTAACTTTTATCTCATTAAATAATTTCTTTAATGTGAACACAATCGAATCTGAATCAATTCAAATTGATAACTGAACCAGTTCCTTACATAATATATATTTTCTTTAGAGTAATGGATCAAATTTATTATTGAAATTATAAGCACAAGTTAATTTAGGACTAATAATATACATTTACTTTTTAAAATTACATAAATACAATTATTTTGACACCTAAAATTATAATAAGGACTAAAATAGTTTATATGCTTAAATATGTTTTTTCTCTTTACATTTTAATGATTTTTTTTCTTATTTTAGTCCATAACCTTTATACAATATGTTTTTCTAATAGTTTTGCAAATTTTGCCTTTCATATTTCTAACTACTATCTTTCGATCAAAAAATGACATATCAGATTCTCAGTTATGCACATTAGTACCAAGGGATAAAATTAAAAATTTACTAAAATGTAAAGTTTAGAGTATACTTAGCCCTAATTTATATTTAATAATTTAAAGAACTAAAATGCTATTTTTATAAATTTATAGACTAAATTGACTGATAGTTATAATTTCAAGCACTAATATAGTGTATCACTTTCCAGCTCAATAACGAAATAGGTACTCATACCATAGCACTTAAACAACATGCACGATAATTGATTATCATATGGGAGAAAGTAAACTAGAAAAATGAAAAACAAAAATTGGATGAACGAAGCTGAATTGAATTGAGGAAAACAAGAGAGAAAAGATAGTGAAGGGAAGTGGCTCTGTTATGTAATCTCCCTTTTTGTGGGTTCAGTCCTTCAATTGGAAATGTGAAAGAGACAGTTGCTAGAGTCACATGTCGCAGTCATAGATGGTAGAAATGTGCCATAGAGGCAAGCCAGGAGATGGGTTATACGGTGTCCTTTTGTGATGGGACGATTCCACAATTGCCAAAACAAGCAAACAAATCCATTTTCTGACTTAAGGTTCAGCCTTTCTGTGCTTGTATAAAACTACTTTTCCAATGGTCACCTTATGCCATGAAGCCCTCTCTCCTTTTCTTGTCCGATGAATGCCAGTAATGACACTACCAGCTTTCTGTGATGCACATAAATACATTAACAGATGAGGGATGTGGTTCTCTTCTCTTCCTACCACACTCACATTCACACCATGTAGTTCCGTTCATTAACTTATTTTGGACACAATCATTTCATCCATTCACACCCTAACTTGTTATCTCTATCCGGAAATTCTAATCCCTCTCTTCCTTCGTTATACACCTTAGTTTTCTTTCTTCACTTCTATTATTTTGTAAATGTCAATCTGTTTCTGACCGTGATAGTTTATTGGCGGATTTGGATTCGGCTCTTATTGTTAGCTAACATGATATAATTATTTTATAAACTAACTTAACTTTCTTCTAAAATTTAGTTCAAATGAAAATATTTCCCAACTCTTAAAGAGAATATTCTGAATCTAGTCGTAGCTGATGATAGACATCTGAACATACTCTCTTTAAGCTTGGGACTCGACTTGGACATCTGCATGTAGTCAAC